TCTTGTATTTTAAGCATATAAAAAGTCGCTGTCACACGCTCCCTATTCTTCTTATACTTGGGAGAGTCCCAAGCCCTAAGAAGGGCGAAAAATACATCTTCGTCAAGCCATAAGGGGTGCTCACATGTCAGGTGTACATCACAGAACTCGTCGCAAAGACGGTAGCTCACCTTATGCTCGAGTTCCTCCGGATGTGTGCCTCCTCCTCAGGGGGCAAGGACCACTGTTTCTCTAAATTAAATTATAAAATGTTAGATTCATAAAAATAAATATATAAATGAAATTATTATGTTCGAGGTTTATAGAACCTCCCAAAATCACATATCTCGAACTGTCATCGGGATCTCCCTTGAGGATAATTGCTCCGAATAATGTCTCTAACGGAATGGATGTTCTGTGTGGGGGGAGTGAATGTAAAAATAGTATATGATCAGTTTTTCTATTAAATTACAAAAACATAAAGCAATGATGCTAATATTAAACTAAAATTTACGTGTTCCCCACTGTCTGATGCTGATGACGGTAGCTTGTACTTCTCGAACTGGATGGTGCATCAATAGTACTGATGGTGACGGTGTTGGTGTGTTGGTCATGGTTGGTGACTGGTGGCAATGTTGGTGTGGTAATTGTGATTGTAGGCGGTGGGAGTGTGGTAGTTGCAATTGGAGGCGGTGTTGGCGTGATGGGACTTGAGGTGAAGGCTTGTTGTGGTGAGCTGGTTGAAAGGATCATCTCCGTAGCTCTACATCCATGGTCCCTTCTACTAGCGAACTTCACAAGGCACCATGTCCCCTGACAGAGGGGAGAATGCTCCTCTCTACAAAATCTATCCGCAAGAAGAAAAGTAAAATTAATTAGTGCAACTACAGACTACTAAAGCTAAACATATAAAAATATGTAGTAAAAAGAAAGGGCAATAGTAAATTACATGCAATTTACAAACTACTGAAACTAAAAACTCAAAAGTACATAGCAAATAGAAAGGAAAATAGTAAAGTGCAACTTACAAACTAATGAAATTGAAATTTACAAAAGTACAT